CTGGCTGATTTGAACGTCGTCGCTCGTAGTGAATTCAAGTTAAAAACGGAGCAAGAAGTTGCAGTAAAATCTCCTCTAGATGGAAAAGATGTATTAGCGGTGTTGCCCACAGGATACGGCAAAAGCCTCATATATCAAATGTTTGTTTGCGCCAAGGACTTTGAACTGAATGGTAAAGCAACGATTCTGTTGATTTAAATTTTTATCGACTCTTGTGCTGCATACAGCTTGTTCGTTAAAACTGTACAGTTCAGCTGCATTTCTTATTTTGCCACCACAAGATCTACAGACCCGCTCTGAAAAGTTTTCGTCTCTCGTTAGTGGAAACCCAATCGAGCCGCAACACTCAGCTAAAATCAGCCCGACACTTTCTTCTCTGTCCGACGGCGAAAATATATTTTCAAATGACGCTCTTCCTCCTCCAGAAGTAAAGGTTACTCCACAAAATCTGCAGCTGCTGATTTTTTGAATGTCTATCTTTGGTTTTCTTCCTCTTTTACAAACCTTTGTGGGAGTTGCTGACATTACACGGCCTGAAGATTTTCTCACAATGGTCGCTGCTATGAATATTTTTTCACGCCTTCCCATGTAAAGTCAGTCATGCAGAAAGGGGCGTGCCTTATTCTGATTGGTCATTGAACTAACAGCTCTGTTAATCCGGTTACCGTAAAACAGTAGGCAGAAATGCAAAAGAAGCGGCTTTTGTAGCAGGCGTTACCTTCCCTGAATCCTCTTCCTCCTCCCCAACCCCCTCCCCTTTATACGCCTGCTACGCAGGCCAAAAGTCATCTAAATGTGGTAAAAACATCAGCGTCGAAAAATTCGGCTATCACCTCGTGTGCCACTTTTTTGTCTTAACTATTTAAGGGAAAGTGCCTGACTGGTGGTAACACGTCCATTAAACAATCGGGGTCTGATTGTCTAACGTTTTCGAGAAAAAGCACGAACTGGTGTGAAGGCCGGGTGCCCACTCTATGATAAGAGGAGGAACCTGAGGTCTGGCATATAGCAAATCATTAAGCAGGATCAGGGGGTTTGCTACCATGGAACTTTAAACCTGTGCTTTCAAAAATGGCTCGGTAATTCACGAATAAATCCTGCCTTATGAAGTGCACCAAAGTGTGGCAAATACAAATGACTCAATTTACCCATTAGCAAATGAGTTGAGAAAAAGTACTTGAAAATTGGTCATTTATGCTAATATAAAGGCGCAAGCTTCCAATCTATAGCGAACAAAACATATATACGTATAACATCTGTAATTTTGCTATTTAGACAGACTTGACAATAGGTGATAACAGGGGTTAGAAACCACATGCAGATGATATTACGTTCAGCGTTTGTGTGAGTGTGCACTGGCTGACAGTGTGTGAATTCTCGCTGTGCGAGGGAGCTTCGTGTGCATGCCTCAGTGAGGGTAATATGTGATACTAACTTGAAGCCAACTTGGTTTTATATATCACTTGATCTTCTTTACATATCTTGATAGATTATATTACAGTTGTGTGCTTAGTTATCTGACTTATGAATGCAAGCGAGGCTGGAGGTGACCTTGCTTTGATACAAACTTCTCTGTTTTTCTCGTTTAAATGCCAGCTTGTTAACGTTAGCATAAGAACAATTTGATTTACACAACAAAAGCAGTGGGGTCTTTATCGATCAAAACAAGGCCGCCTGCAGCCTCGCTGCCATTGAAATGCCAGGTCATTGAACAGACAACTGTAAAATGGTCTAATGGCTGTCTGGATGCTCTAACGATTATGGCTGTTCCAGACAGTCAGAACTCTAAGCAAGTTTTTATTTCTCGAATTCTTTCTTTTTATGTCCGTTAAATTTTAGTTGCATTCAGCACCTGAAATATAGGTTGTTGTTGCTGATGATCTCACTCGATGGTTGTTTTCCTTAGTGATAAGCTTGCTTATTTCCTCCTTAATGTCCTTCTTCAATAACGCGTAAACAAAAGGATTCACTGCGGAGTTTAAAACCAGTAAGCAAGAGACGACCTGGCCCGCTTGATCTGGCATAATATGACAAGAAAAAATAAGGCACAAAACTAAGTAATTGACCGCTACGTAGCATCCCAAGAAGAACACAACGAGAGCAATGATGAAACGAGCTGTGTTGTTTTTCCTACGTTTATGCGAGTTTGAAAATTCGATGGAGTGGTTAGACTGAATTTGTAGTTCTATTGCAGCTTCTTGGCGCGACTTTGCACGTGCAGCAACCAGGATACGAACGACAGCATAGAAGAGTAGCACACAGCAAATAATGTCAAAGGCAGACACGCCAGTTAGTTTTATAACAATATGAGCAGTGTTGGAAGTTATGACGTAGATTCCCACGAGAAGTGACAGCGAGATCGCAAAAGGAATCGACCATGCTATCAAGATAACTATTCCAGGGCGTCTCTTCGTCATTGAGTTATTGTATTTGAAAGGATGAGCGATGGCAATGTAACGATCCCAAGTCAAGGTGCAAAGATTTGTGACCGAAGAGTGAAGGAGGAACCAGAAGAATGCCTTTTGCACCCTCAAGTTACACGCCATTGAGTAATTGCAAAAGTAACTCGATGGAAAAACCGCAATTCCGACGCCAAAGTCGGCTACTGCCAAGGAAAGGACGAACAAGTTGGCCGAGCGTAAATGTAGTCGGCGAGTTTTGGAGACGAGAAAGATTACAAAGCCATTTCCTGCTGCAGTTACGATTGAAAGTAGCCAACCGAATACATTGAACCAATGCTCCATTAAAGCTGCTATATTGGTAAACAGTAAGCTTATAGTTTGAGCAGTCCTGAACACATCAATTGTTTGTTAATCAGTTTACGAAGAGGAAGGGCAACTTATTTTTATGAAGATGATCCTCTCATAAAACTACCCATGAGATCGATGCTATTTTCAGCACAATAAATTTGCCAATGACATCCAAACATGGTTGTCTTTCAGTTTCTGCGATTCTTTCAATTTCTGCTATACATATGTGTTTTACGTATAATTACGTGTATTACTATACATTGAACTCACTATCTCTTTTCTGATTGGTCGTAATTGTACAGTGAATTTTCGAAATCA